AAAAATGGTGTAAAATTGTTGCCAGCCCCGCTATGCGTTTTTTGTGTGTATTATTACACCAACTTCTAAAGTGTAGTTTAACTCTCAAAAGAATGGTATGTTTACAAGCAAAGTAGTGTAAAATGGGTATTATACACTTTGACACTTCTAAAATTACACATCTAGCAAGGGTAATAATATCAGGAAGGAAGGGTAAAACTACCCCGAATGACTGTGCACGTGATCTTTCCAGTCCCGCTACCCTTTTTGGAAGGTGTAATTTTACCCCATCTAAAAAACTTGAAATTACCCCCAGAAAACGTATAATTCAACCACAAAATGAAGTGTAATTATGTTTATTTATCATCAATTTATAAGTAAAATTACACATGACGCTTCATCAATGGGTAACATAAACTCAAGCGTAAAATTACAATGTCTTACTTAAGTAAAAAACGCACAACTCTAGATTCACATTACTATAACTTAGCCTAGGTCCGTTAAGGCTGGTTTCCATATGATCGCAGACGATCGCAGATCGCAGAAAGTTCTACGATCGTCTGCGATCATATGGAAGCACACTTCTGCGATCCTGCGATCGTGATCGCAGATGATCGCAGAAGGTAGAACCAAGTTCTGTCGCATTGACAGGAATTTTGTGTGAATCGAAGATTTGGAGAGCGTGTTTCGGCGAGAAAATGTATGTATTTGTGCAGGCTTGAGTATAATAAAAACAAACTAAACATTTAAGAGCAACGAGGTGGCTTCCGGAAACGTTTAGTATTCGTTCGCCTTTTGCAACGATAAAAATGTCATCATAATTCGGGAGTTCGCCCGCGATGAGGATAAATGGAGGAAAATCTTGCTTCAACCCAGGTAGCTCTTCTTCAGAAGGCAAAATCTGCATATATAGAACGACGTGGAAAAGAACAGGTGTTATAAACATTATGAAAGGTGCATGGAGTAAATCTTCCATAAAAGCAACTTTAGCATATGCTGATTTTCCACATCCTCTTGACTTTAAATTTTTATGAAATTGTGTGTAGTTCAATGGTAGTGGTACTCAATAAATTTTAAGTCGACATTCAACGTCAAATAGCTCTGCTACAGCTTAACAAAATTAGACAATATGATTCTTATCTGTTTGCTTCTACCTTAGACCAAAGTTCTGAAACTCAACAAGTTTCTTTGTTTCATGTTTTTGTTTGCCTTTTCGGGCATTGACCCTGCTGCAGCACAAAACACATGCATCTTTTTTAGAAAATAACCAATCAAGAGTTTTGATTAATTATTTATTCACAACTATAAAGAGAGCCAGATGCATGGACAATAATACATAGTACACTAGAGCAAATTAACTGCACCCACCAGTTCAGATGCAAATTATACTACATAGTACACTATAACCAATAAATTAACTGCATGGTTAGATCTACTTTACAAGTTACATCGAACTGTATGAGGTGCGCCACCCACCAATTCATATGGAAATTATACTACATAGCACTCTATGAAAATAAATTAACTGCATGGTTAGATCTACTATACAAGGTACATCGAACTGTATGAGGTGCGCCACCCACCAGTTCAGATGGAAATTATACTACATAGTACACTGTAACAAATAAATTAACTGCATGGTTGGATCCACAGGGTGTTTCAAACGTTCGTTTCGGTTGTAAATTGTATTTTCTGCAACGAATTTAATGCTTCTTTAGACAACTGTAAACTGATTCAGGTAAGAAATTTCTCTAAATTACAGTTCAAAGCTATTTCAAACTAAAATTTTAAGAAAATATAATTTTTTTTTTAAATTTTTGCCCCAACTGTGTACGTACGCGAGGTTTTTCCCGCCATACGTTTCCTGCTTAATTGTAGGTTTTCTATTTTGGTATTTTTATCGCTTTCTTTTATTTAATTTCTCTACTCCTTCATGAAAATGAAGGCCTACACTGTTTGTGCTAGAGCTTATGCCTCTATTTTTGTGGACTTCTGGCTATTCAGTCAAAAACAATTGTCAAATTGTTTAAGAAGTCTGAGCGATAACCGAACAACTGCTCAAAAGTAAAGACCTTAGAAGACAAACCAAGGAGTAGATGTCCGTCTTTTCACAAACTGTGTGAGAAATATTATAGAAAAATCTGTAAGTATACGCGTGATAATTCCCTAAGCAGAAAGGTAAAAAAATTCCAACTTCACATTATCGATCAAAGTTTCGGGCACAACGTTATCGGGATAAGTTACCAAAAAAAGTTGGAAAGCCTGGAAGAGAAAAAGGCGGTGCACACTTCATGCAGGCACGGCTCAGAAGGTTTTGCCAACTTTATACCAAAGGAGGACTGGCCGGCAGCAAACGTATGTGATATGAGCCCCCTAGAGACCATCTGGATTATCGTAGACGAGACAACATACAAAGATCCAGCCCCCAAAACACTGGACGAGCTAAGATAGTGACTACGCTTCGCCTGGAAGAATGTGACTTTGGACACGCTTTGGGAGCTCGTACATTCTATACCTCACCGCTTAGAAAATGTCAGAAAACATACAGGAAGACATTCTCGTTA